TTAATTTTTTTTCCAAAATTAAAATCTGACCAACAGGGAATTTTTTAATGTCATTATAGAAGAATGAAAATTATTATTTACAAATTTCGAAATACTATCAATCCACTATGGCAATAATTTTTTTTTGATTGGCAAAATTTGATTTTGAAAGCAGACAAGACCAACCTAGTGAGATTTCATGTCTACAGGGAGATGATCTTAAAAATTGGTCCGCCGGTCTTCGCTGGGTTGTTCTGTCAGAGGAGTTTGGGTACTTCGCCATTTTAAGTCAGGACTGAGGGACAAAAATGAGCGGTAGCGACCAAATTTTAAGACAAACTTATCCACATGGAAAAAAGCACTTTAAACAATTATTATTCAGAAATCGTGAGATGCGGTCTGGTGTGATGTAGGTTTCAGAAAAACATTTTCTTTATCGTGCCAACGTTTCGATCTTTATTGAGATCATCTTCAGGGCCTGGGATTTACAAACATTGGTTACATTTAACAAATACATTTTGCATGTGGAAAAATGAATTTATACAATGCAAAATATATTTTTTTACATATATACATATATACATACGAACGTATTTGTTAAATGTAAACAATGTTTGTAAATCCCAGGCCCTGAAGATGATCTCAATAAAGATCGAAACGTTGGCACGATAAAGAAAATGTTTTTCTGAAACCTACATCACACCAGACCGCATCTCACGATTTCTGAATAATTATCGATTAACGGTCACTAATCACCACACACTTTAAACAATATTTTTTAATAAAAACCCATTCAATCGATTGAATACAATTTTACGTCGTGTTTGTGAATAAATGTCGGGCATTTATTATGGCAAACACAATTTGGATAAATTAAGTGGTTTTTATTGGACAAAAATTTGAAAAAGAAAAATGATCGATTTTCCTAACATGAAACTTTTTTCGATAAAATTCAGAGAAAAATGCAATTTTCTGCGTGAAAATTGAAATTGTCTTAATTCGCGAACCGGCGAAATTCTGAAAGATTGAAACAATTGGACTTTGAGCGAATAAGAAAGGGAGAAATTTCTGGACAAGAACTGGACAAAAAAAAGACAATCTAGACCAAAACCAAGAGGTTGGAGGATACATACGAGAAAGCAAAGCATTCATACAGCGCTGGAGAGTTCTAAAAAATTATGAATAAATAATAAATAAAACAAACAAGTTCTATTTCTGTTATATCGATAAAAAATTCAGAAAGAGTTCAAAGAAAAAAATATTTCGAAGTGAAAAATTTAAAAATTACCTAACTCATACTCCTTATACTTTCTTCTTCTGTATGAAAGGAATCTTCAATAATTACAAAAAAACTTTAGTACTATGATCCTTTTTTTAAAGAACATTAAATGAAAAACATGAAGAATCGTAAAACGATAATTTGTATATATTTAGTACATCAATGACGTTCTTTATCATATTTCTTCAGCACTGGAATGACATGGCATCTATCATGCCAATAAATAATAATTAATAACAATTAGGCTAATAATAATGAATCTTTAAAGAAAAATCTATCCGAACAATTTATAATTGAAGTAAATAGCTTGGAGATTGCTAGACAGCATAATTATGTTAACGGAACGATTAATTCTACCTGTAGGCAAATGTGGATTTTCTATTGCCAACATTCCTCTATGAAATTTTTACTTTAGATTTTTATTCTTAGTATAAAAATGAATATACACCTACTGGTTTATAAGCAACGGGGTTTCATAGCGTATAAACGATGTAAATGTTGATGGTGCGTCTGCGTGTCGACGTAGAACATGTCTATCTTTTCATCGCAAGAGTATATTATTTTTTATAATGTTCTTTACGCTGAAAAATGCACCCTATTGGGGTTTTTTAAAGTAAAGCAAATAAACAGTGTTTGGAACTTGAAAAAGGATTAAAACACAGAAACAGTGAGTTATCTGTTTATTCGTACCAGACCCTTTGTGGTTCGGGTATATCACCCGGCATCGGAAGGTGAATCTTTTCAATGAAATTACGTAAGCTTTAGATCCAATTAAATCATAATAATTTACATAAGGCACGGAAAGAAACGGAACTGTTAATCGGGCCCATTAAGCGGGTGCAATTTTCATAATAAAAAAAATGATTCTTAACAACCTATAAAATACATGACCTATAAAATAAATACTATTAACTGTTTCTCGTTAAGCAAGACTTGCGGATTCATAAATTTAGACATGATTATACATATACTGGAAGATCGGAGATTAAACTATCTTTCTAATATGGAAGAGGGCCAATTTCCATAAGGCATGATCTTCCTTAATCAATTTAAATAACCCAACATACATACTGAATATGCGTTTTACTTAAAGAAATGATAGTCGTTTAAATAATAAACAGAAATTACCGATTGTCATTTAAAAAATAAGTAAACTTCAAGTTATTGGTGTCATACAAGAGGGTTTAAAGTCCAACTATTCTTTGGGTGTTGCGGATGAGAGGTCAGAACTCAGAAATACTTTACAATACTTTTTTTCATATTATTCACAGTTAATATGCCATGGGCTATGTCAGGATTCGAACCCAGAACCGCGTGGTACGCCCTAACTACTAGGCCAGCGCGTTCCCCCAAACTTTATTTACATAAATATAAATTTTTTGTGTGTACGAATTTTTTTTGAAGATCTTTCCGGTCGGGTAATGAACGAATTTCTTATCGTGAAACTTTATCTCTTACCGATCATTGTGTCTGCCTATCCTCGCTTATAGTTTATTGTGGACTTTCACCACGAAGGGCTGTCACTCTCTAACGTGCCGACCCTAGGGTCTTCAGGGGAGTTCACCTATCCCGTTATGCGGCTTGGTCGTTAGTATTCTCCTTGAGACCTCCTGAGCGTCATCGTCGCTTCCAACCAACCCTAGTCTCGAGGGGCTATCTTTTAGCCCTCAACGCATAAAAAGTATAATCAATCCTAAAACTAACACCTATATACAATCCCGCAAATAAATACATTCACATGTACTTAGCACTCATTCTGGTTAGTCCGTAGAGTAGTCGTTCCTCTATCAACCTACACAAAACAGTAATAACCTAATCTAAGTTAGGGTCGATGGAGTACTTCATAAATATTCTGCCATCAACCCATCACCAGTCATACTAAATAAATACACGCTCTCAGACAAAACACGAAAAACAGATCTATATGCAATAAATCTATATTTCTAAAGAGCAGAACCGGGCACCCTGAAACTCGCTACTCTGCCCGAGAATCATTCTTAAATCCGGTGGCCTACACGCTCTCAGTAAGGAGCCAAGACATGACAAGATTCTTATGTAGGCATCGAAAAACCTGTCTCTTCATAACGGGCGGGCAAATCAATAAAGTACTTCTCAGTACTTATTATTGCAATTCTACAGATATCCCTTTCCTCTTTTATTCCAGGAACATCTATAGTCCCCCAAGGTGGTACATTTGACGATCTTTTTTACAATACCCTGCCGAAATTCCTATTCCTATTTCCCAAAACACAGCCGCTTATTAATAAATTTGATGAAATATACATTTCAATTACATCTACAATCCTTGGTGCTTACCTACTTTATATCACGAATGTACAAATGTTTATTAACATAAATAAAATATACGTCACCGTTTTTTCACCTCATGTGTTAATTATGCTAAAACAGGTTTCGTTGCACACATGTTGCCGGAATATGTTTATTTTGCGAAAAATGAAATGATTAAGTATAGTCAGATGTTGATTAATCTACTTTTGCAGTAAATCCATACCAATGCGAGATCTATTGATTCATATCTCTTTATTCACAACCCGGTGGAAAGTGTTACGAGAATCGAACAAGAGTTTTAACGATCATTACTATCCGTTGAGAATATAACCGGTTGTGAATATGGTTTATGGTGTTATGCTAATGATTTAAATTTAAAAAAAAACTGGGCTATGTTGAATGAAACAAAAGTAGGTGTACGACGTACAATAGTCGTAGCCGGCTGATAAACCGGTTGACTTGGATTTTGTTTTTTTTATTCGAGAAAATCAGAGACATGTACGGTTTGCAGATGGGCATAAAATGACAACATTCAAGTTTACCGAATTGTATTTTTGTACTACAAAATTAAATAAACCTTAATGAGAGCAAAGTAAATATTCACTAAGATTAAGCACGTGGTCTTATGCAGCATTTTAGTTTTTTGAACTACAGTAAAACTAATAGTGAATAATTAAATCTGCATCCTTAATAATACAACAAACAATTGGAATTTACATTTTTTGTCAACTTTTTTTTACTGCCTAATAGATTCAAAATAAATTAAAAAGATTATTTTAATAAAGGTTACCACAATTATTTAATTATTACACTATACAATTAACGAGATGCTATATAGCATTGTAATTTTTTTAAGGAAAAAAAGTGGTTCGATTTTCCTTTGCAAAGAGTAACCGATATTTAATCACATTTGATCTATAAAATGCCGCTAGATGCAATTTGCCATTAGGACAAACTATTTGGTCTGCTATTGAACCAGCAGCGTTTAGAATTTTTGTAATGATCCGGGATTTTAGCACGGAGAGTGATGCAGAAAAAGGGCGAACGATATCCTTCTCCTTGTCGGTTTTGCAGATGTATGAAAGGAAATCTCGGTCAAAGTGACGATTTTTCTCCGAGAAATGATACAATTATGCTGATTATGAAATAGGCTTATCGTTCTTCTCCTTTTTATGATATAGCTTCTCCAGTTTTATTAGGATGTTACTGAGGGTTTTTTATCTACTAATGGCAGGCCAAAACATTTGTATTTTATGGGTTGGAATGGACTGGTTGAGATGACAGATAATTAGAGAAATATATGATCAAGAAATAAAGGAAGAAAGTCACGTGCATCGCTAGAGGACTTTTGCATAGATTGCAGTTTTTCAAAAAAATTTCACTTCTGTTAAAATTGTTCCACCCCGGCGATTATAGAAATTAAAACATGAACACATGAAAAACTTTTACTTACCAATGATTCTGACGATATGACGTAAATCCAGTGCATAAATGTGTAAATGGCAGGTTATTGACCGCGGGGGAGTCGTATCGTTTATCGGAAAATATACAAAAGAATCACATGTTTTTAAATGGGCTTTTAGATAGGAAAACTTCTTCTGGAGCGGGCGTCGGAGCTCCCGGAAAAGCGTCGATTCGAAGAAAGAAACCCTTCAATCAGTGACCGTCGATCGAAGGAGGAAGGCCGTTAAGGAACCTTCATTAAATCATCAAATTTGCACAAGACGAACGGTCCTTGCCGCGTGCAAGATTGAGATAATTATAAAAACTACTCAAAGTAACTAATTGTCGGATTGTTATAGGAGGTAGCGGAGGTTTTATACCAATTGCTCTCCTCAGCGGAACGGAAGCGAGGAAGCCGTTGGAGGAGTGGCCGAGGCGGTTGGTTGTCGTATACTCGATTCCTCAGAGGAACTAACAACGGCTTCCTCTTCAGGAAAGCAACCCATCCCCTCACCCGACTCCCGGCATCCCTCCCTCACCCGACGTGATTCTGCCAGGCTCCCGGCTTTATTAATATTTCATGGGATATACCAATTAAAGTTTGGGCCGGTTCGGCTAAGGGAGGATGCGGCGCCGTCACGCACTGTAGTTATTTGGAGATTTGTGCCACTCAAGCCACTGCTTCATACCATCTTCTAATTACATTGTCGTTGAATTTGTGTTTGGCCCAATTTGCCGTTTCAAAATTTAATGTTCCTTCTGTCAATTTCATGTTTTTCAGAGTGAAAGTCGAATTTCATTCTTTTTCTTAAATTTTCAATGAGAAGAAATTCATATTACTATGTCAATTCAGTGACATTATCAACTGTTTGGAAAATAGTGATCATATGATATGGAATGATATTTTCAACGAATATAATAATCGTCTCATTCAATTTAATAATCGTTTCAACCAATTTAATAATAACCGTCCCTTTCGGTCAGGGGGGAAACTAAATACTGGCTCGCAGTTGCAGATACCTTTATTTAAATTTAAACACATTAGTAAGTAATATTTCTATATTCCCCATCATGAAATTCGACATCCCCGAGGTTTGTTGCACAACTAGACCAAAAACTGAATCGAACAAAAAACTGTATTCGAAATCGGTTCTAAACTGCAGTCTGGGCATCGTATACAATATTTTGACACACACACACACACACACACACACACACACACACACACACACACACACACACACACACACACACGCACACAAAGCTGGCGCTAGTGAGGATGATCAGTTCAAAAAGATGGTGTTAAACTATTGAGATAATTATTAAATTGGTTGAGACGATTATTAAATAGAATGAATCGATTATTATATTCAATGAGACAATTATTAATTGATTTAAATGAATTTGGTTGAAATTGATTTAAAATTATTAATTTGACTGAAAAAGTGTCATATATTATAATATAATTAGAGAGCGAATTTTTATATTTTTATAAAATTTTAATTAAAAAAATTAAAATGTGTAAAAACATGTATATTCAAACAAAATCAAAGATGAAACAACTTATTTTTTTCCTATAATAAACAAAATAAATCAATTAATACTTAATTCAAGAAAAATTTAATTACGTAATTAAAGACAAAATGTATATAGGACGCCCCTTTTGGGCATGGATTTTAGGTTTTATACTGGATGATTTTAGCATTTTTTCATTTTTTACATACAGTTTTACATTTTTTAAACGGTGATGAACGTTGATGAACGGTTTCTGAATGGGTTGAATTTTTTCACATAGGCGCAAGAAACCTACATTTTACATTGAGAATCACCACCAGACAGTTTTCTAATGTTTTATTTGTGTTAGTTATAGAAAGCTTTACAATTTAAGCTCCACCAAAACCAGTCAAAGGCTGACTGAGAATGGATGCTGGTAAAACCCCCAAAAAAGAACTTCTAAATTAAATTAATTTAAAAAAATGTATCTCCGGAAATCCTTAATCGATTTCTATGAAATAACATTCATTTTTCATTATAAAAATCCTGTTACGAATATGCAGCATAAAAACAAAGTGTTATATTTGCAGGCAAAAAGTTGATTGTGTTAACTTATTTTGAACGTATTTTTGTGAAAAGTTTCAGTTTTAAATTATTCTTTTTGAACAGTTAATATATTTTTATAATTAATTTATTCGTATAAAATTAGTCATTCATAAAAATATATATAAAATATTTAAAAAAAATAATGTAAAATTAAAACATTATCAAAATTAAAATATGTCTTGAAAATGACACGGTTCCCAACGTCTCAAAATCGTGATTTTTATTTTTTAAACACCTCAAATTAAGGCCTATCGAAAACAGTTTTTATCTATAAAAATTTAATTGGTAATCTTCTTTTTATATCTTATAAGGTATCAATTTTTAGTTAAAAAAATTATAAACAAAGCAAGAAATAAAAAAAGTTAAATTATAACATTCCTTGGTTTTTTGTGACGTATCAATTTTTATTTTAGAAAAACCATTTTTCTACTGCATATAAGAAAGGATGATTTTGGTATCACAATAAACATTTTTATTTTCAAATATTTTATCCTGCACATTCTTAAAGTAGGTGCATATTTTTGTATGAGTTAAAATTTATACAATTTAACACAAGCAAATTCTGAGAAAATTGGAAAGCATACACGCATTACGCGCCATCGGTAGCACGCATCCTATCGGGGCGCACTCACCGGGCCCCCACGCCTCAGCAGCAGTACCGAATATTTCCACAAGGAAAAGGTAGGTTTTCTTTCGCCCATGTATGGAGATTCAGTTCAAAAAAATGTGTAAAAACATCTATACAACACCAAAAACATGCAGCTTTTTTTTTTTTCAAATTTACAATATTAATGCATTGAAAACGTCGCCAATCTTGTACAGTAAGAAATAAAGATAAAATGTATACAGGGTGTCCCTTTTCATCAGCCACTTTTATTATAAACAAAGCAAGATTTTAAAAGAACTTTGTAACCCACCTTTATTTTTGGAAAGGTATCAATTTTTATTTAAAGAAAAAGAAAAACTTTTTTACAGCAGATATACAGAATATCACCATTCAACCAGTTTTGTTTTTCAAATATAACCCTTTGTTTTTTGCTTCATATTCCGATCTTTTTTAATGAAAGATAAAGTTGATTTCATCTAAATCAATCTAGGGTTAAGAGGTTCGGTCTTTTGCGTTTTACCAACCTCCATTCTCAACCAGCTCCGGAAACTAGTGATGAAGTTTAAAAACCTGTCTTAAATTTATATAAATAACACAAACAAAATCTGAGAAAATTGTCTGGTGGTGATTCACAAACGTAAAATGTAGGTTTATTGCTGGTTTCTTCATGTACGGAAATTAAGCTTTAAGCTCCCTTATATTAGCAATAAATTTAGATTTATAAACATAGTAAAACAAAAAAAATAACAATAATAATAATGATAGTAATAAAACCTATAATAAAATATACCAAACAATAATGAAAATAATATATTGTTTAAAATATTAATTATTTATAATCGAATGATAAAACTACATTACGAAAGAAAAGCAGAAAGAGAAAAATGGTAAAGGGAAAGGGGAAAAAGGAAAGGAAGAGGGAAGGAGGAGACGATTCATATCGTTTTTAAAAACTCAGAGCCAAGGACCTGAAACAAGCCAGCGAGAAAGCAGAACGTACTCCTCGCTAAGCAAATTCCATAGTCTTGATCCAGCAATTCTGAAGGATAAGGTTACAGTTTTAGAGGAGTGCTGAAGGCTTGGGATATGATTGGTGCGATAGATATTGAGAACATATTAAACTCTAAGTTTATAAATGCTTAGGATATTAAGGTTGATGAAAACGTTATTATCGGAAGAATATGATGCATTGGTTTAAGATTATAACAGTATCTAACGTAGTAATGATAAGCAATTGGAACGGTACGAGCTAGAGAGTTTAAGGAAAGTGAAAAAATTACGCTACAGCAAGATAATAAAGTAATTATTAAGGAGAACTCAGTTTTCTATAGAGCGAAAAAGCTAAGGCGTCGGAGAGAATGGAGGCTTGAGTAGATCTTTTTAATAATAGAGCTTACATGGTCATGCCACGTAAGCTTGGAGTTAAAAATAACACCGAGATTTTTAACTTTCTGACAAAAGTTAATAGCGAAGCTGTTGATATAACGAGGGGATAGGCAATATGTATTAATGCGTTTATTTGAAATTAATAAGGGTTAGGATTGGTTAGGTTTTAAAACCCAAAGAGCTAAAATTGCGTGGGGGAGGTGTAGAAGGCTCTGCGGCAAGAACTGGGGTCTAAACCCCAAAATGATCCTAGGCTATACTCCTGTGTCCGAAGATCAATGTTGATATATGGGTCGGTGGTGTGGTGGACAAAACTCTTCAGGCCAAAGCAATAAGTGGCACCCAAAGACAAGCTTCTCTCAGCGTCACTGGTGCCATGAGCACAACGCCGACTGCGGCCCTGAAAATTTTGTTAAACCTCCCACCACTTCACATTCTAATCCAAGGAGAAGCCAAAACAGCATCCCAGAGACAAACATCTGCTAGGACAGGCCATGTAAATAAACAATGGAAACTGAGGGAGGAGATACAGGCAGATGCCATTCTAGATATGCCAATTGATGCCACTACTCTAAAGTACAACTTTACTAAAAAGTACAAAGTACTGATACCAGAACGGGAAGGAACACCACTAAAGGCATACTCCTACTGGAATATTGACGGCTCCAAAAACGAGAAGGGTACGGGAGGTAGGGTCTTTGGGATGAACCCTAAGACCGAACTGATGGTAAACCTACGTAAATATGCTACATTTTTACAGTCTGAAATCATAGCGATTGAACAATGCGCCACAGAAATAAAAAGGCTAGGAATGCATTCCCGGAAGATAGCCATTTTCTTTGAAAGCCAGGCAGCACTTAGGGCCATAGCCTTATGCGAGGCGAAGGCAAGAGTGTTAGGAACTGCATGGAGGACCTGACGGAAGTCAGTGACACTAACGACCTGACCCTGGCATGGTTTCCTGGACATTCGGGGCATAAAGGCAACGAAAAGTTTGACATGTTGGCCAAAAAGGGAGCAACATGGACTCTATGAGCACAGAACACTACTGCTGCTTAGCAGCCTGCCACAAAAGAAGATAGATCTTAAAATGGATCCTTAATGAGTCCAAAACCTAGTGGAACAATAACACAGGTATGAGGCACACGAAGACCACCGACCAAGAAGTTCTGGAAGGCAACCGCAAAAGAACCAGAATTCTGGTTGGACTCCTGACAGGGCACTGCCACATAAGAAAGCACATGCACCGGGTAGGAGTACAGACAGAAGAAACACTGTGCAGATACTGTCAGGAAGTGGAGGAGACCGCAGAACACATTTTATGTTTCTGTGAAGGTCTACGTAGGTGCAGGTTCTTGCAACTAGGCCAAGAAAAACCAAAAGCAAAATCC